GGTCTGCGTTTTTTTCCCCGACAGAAATGGATGTGCTACTACAAGCATATAGTGACTACGAGCCCATATTTCGTAAAAAAAGCAACACGGGCTGCAGTGGCGAAAGAGAGAGAGTTAGCTTGGGGGAAAATAGCTGCCCGAGTCAATGCGTACGTTTACATTTTAATCATACTGTAGTGTCCCGCAGGACACAAGGAAGACAACCTTGAGTGCCGACGAATAGTCGCTTTTTTATTAACTCCACACAACCGGTTACTGTTGGCCGTAACCACGCCAAAACAACAGCCCAACAACAATAAGAATGAAAAACAGCCTGCTAACACCCTCTGTAGCTCAAATCCCCACACTTCACTCCCTCCCGCTCTCACACCTCTTAACCCCTGAAGCTCCACACCCATCAAGGAACCATAACAATTTAGAACATCATAACATGCCAACTGAAGGATCACTACACTATGAAAGGACTGCTTCGTGATAAACAAGTGTAACCATTTACCGCGTGGTGCTCCCTGGCACCTTTAAATTAAGTTTATTATCAGAAAACTAAATACTGCCCATGTGGGAAGGCTGCTCAGGAGTTTATGAAGACTAGTCTAGGTTTGTGTTGCTGCTCTCGGAGCTGGAGTTTATTTGCAATGAATGAGTTGGATAGTCTGAAAACCTGTGAATAATAGTTTTTCCTTAGTTTGCTGCCGTTATTGACAAGGATGCAGTGCCTCCTAGAGCGTTTTCCACTGACCTCAATCTTACTAAGAAGCTCAAGACAATATTTATATTACACCTCATCACAACTAAGCTCTGTGGACCTAAATGGCATCTAGTACATGCACAGTTAGTTTAACCTCGCAGATACTGGATTTTTGAGGTTGATATTGATAGGGATATTAGAGAATTAAAAAATCTCCAACAGTATATCATATTGGATTACAAGGTTTATGGGGTGCTCTAGACCACGTAAGGAGTGTTAAGCTTTCTTTTAGAAAGTTAGTCAGTGAGTGCAAAATGACTACAAAGAGATACAAAACAAGTACAAATTAACACAGAATGGCTAAAGACATTCAAAACAACCACAAGAAGATACAGACTGACTGCAGAGTTAATCAATCTGTGAGTCTTGCATCAAGAGGTGTAAGAGTAGGGGCCCATTGTCTTATAAACCATCCATGAACCCCATCATAAATAAACACTTCAGAGAAGGACCAACATGCACTAGACTGCTATATTGATCCAGCTAATTTATCAGTCTAGTTCTACAGAAAAAAAACTAAAATATACTAAAGATGCATCATTAACAGAAGAGGAAAGAATGCAAGGGAAAAAGCCACACAGCAACTGTAACTAATCATATGTTGTAGAAATTATAAATAATTTGGTTTTGAACACAGTTGGAATAGATGAAACGTCACCAGCCAGTTTGTTCTAGAGAACTAGACAAAAACTCTCACAGAGCAGGTAGAGTTTGAAAAATCACCACCTCATATCCTGAGAGTATGGACTAGTCATTGAACGGGCCAGAAATGTACTCTAGAGCCAAAGTGCTTTGGAAACTGTGAGTTTGATTACAGTAGATACAGTATAATGCTGCATTTGTCTGTCCTGTTTTCCATTTTTTTTTTTTTTTTTTTTTGTGATGCTGGTTATTTCCAACTTTGTGCTTTGTTTCACCACAGGAGCCTCTCGGCATCCCGTGAAGACAGCTGGCTCAAGTCTCTGTTTGTTAGAAAGGTCGACCCGAGAAAAGATGCCCACTCTCATCTGCTTGCTAAGAAAGAAGACAACAATCTGTACAAAATACAGTGTATGTATTGTTTGTGACTTGGTAGTGCCACAGTGTTACAAGTGTGTGTCTTTAATGCATTAAGATAGACTTTGACATGTATAATATTTTCCGAGATGACATACATATTAAAAAATAAATATTAAATAAATTGGATCAGCTCAGGTTTTATTCTTTTCTTGCAGTTCACAATGTCAAGCCTGAGTGCCTTGATGCTTATAATGAACTCTGGTAAGAAGACTTTATTGAGCTGCCCCGACTGTGCTGGTTTAGTAAGCAGTGCAGATATTTAGAATTTTTACACATTTGCGTGTTGTGTGTGTGCTGCAGTGAGGAAGTCTTGCTTTCCATACACACTGACCCCGAATACCCATGTGAACTTGTGGGCACCTGGAACACATGGTACGGAGAGCAGGATCAGGCAGGTGAGAGCACTTGTGAAACTCTTTGTCGCAGTCTAAACACATGCAGGTGATAAACCTGCTTTTGAATGGCCTTTGATTGATGGGTTGGTAGCCCATTCAGTGAGTGTAAATGAAACAAATTCCCTATTTGAAACAGAAAACTTTGATTATAATGCTCACAGATAAAATAATATTGCTAAAAGGACAAGGTGATTATTGAGTCAACAGAAAATCAATCGATTATGCGAAATATTAAACTGTTCCAGCTCCTCAAGTGTGATGATTTGTTGCTTTTGGCCTTTGAAATGTTGGTTTGACAAAATAAGCAATTTTGACACTTTATAAACTAATTGATTATCTGGGAAACGTCATAAACACCTTAGCTGATAATGAAAGTTATTGTCTTTGCAGTCCTACAAGATATTATAGTTGATTCATGTTTTCTAAAATCATTTGAACCATACAAGAACATCATGAGTTAAGGCAGCTGTTGGCAAAGTTGCATTACTGTATGACAGTAGTTTGTTACTGCCGATGGGAAGTATAATGAAAAACAGAACATTCTTCCAACTGTGCAGTTTCTTCTCTCTTTGACTCTTAAGGGCTTAAACACAGATGTTTCCTACAACTATTACAGTCACCGTCCTCCTCAGTAACACAAACCTACACTTTGACAGTCTTTATATTTTTGTTAATTATAGCTGTGTGACTATTGCACTTTTCCTGGCTGCTTTCCATTTTGCCCTTGTGTTGACATTTGTCTCTTGTCCCTCGCAGTCTGTCTCTCATGACAGAGCTCAGTAACATTGGTAGCCTCAGTAATGAATGGTCATCTGAAAGGCTGCATAAACAAATGCGTACAAATAATGTGCACTGTATTGTGTGGATTTGCTACTGATCGGGTTCAGCTGATACCTTCTTAAGTGTTGTACCAGAGTAAATGCAGGAAGAACTTTTTCATGTTAGCAAATGACAAACTGTGATTGTATTGTAGCAGCCAGTGTTGTCCTGCGATGAGGCATCGTGAGTTCCTCACAGAAATTGACTAGAGATTTGTGTTTGACACACTGTCCTTGTCATGGCAGCTCCAGATCACCGGTGGCCCACAGATAAATAAATAATTAGATTACAGTTGTTAATGTGAGAGAAAATTTTGCCCAAAAAAATACAAACATGCCGAGATATATTTGAGAGCTGCATTATTTTTGGCTCTTCTGCTCCTTCTATTCTAGTTCACCTGTGGAGATATCGGGGAGGATACCCGGCTCTCACTGAAGTCATGAACAAACTCAGGCAGAATAAGGTAACGGGTGCTCGGTTAGTTTAGTTTACTGGCAGCCGGTGACCTGTAGGTGACCGGTTCTGGCAGCGCACCCTTCAAATTAGATCGACATACCCTTTTCCAGTTCCACATGTTCTATATCTGTGGTTTTCCAGCTGTATGTTTGTAATTAAATATTATGGTTCAATTATCTTTAAAGCTTATTTATAGAAATGCAGTTTTATACTATAAATTAGGTAATTGCAGTTTATGGACCCAGTCCTACCTTATACTTCTGGTAAATTTATGTTTAGTCTGCTGAAGTTCATGAAAGTTCATAGAACAGACGACAGAGATCTTTTGCAACCTTAAGGCAAGGCAAGTTTATTTATATAGCACATTCTCATACACAATGGCAATTTAAAGTGCTTAACACAATCCACATAGATAAATAAAACATTACAATGCAAATTTGATAAAACATTAAATATTACTTAAAAGCAACAATTACATAACAGTAAACGTATCAACATGCATGAGTAGATGCCTAGTACTTTGAGTACAGCTGTGGATTCTCACTGTTCTCAGTATACTTGTACCGCTTTGCTTCATTCTTCCCAAGACTAACCTCTGAGTAGTTTACACTAGAGGAGGACGTGCCTTCTTCTAGAAATGTGGAAACATCGGTGTCTGTACAATCAGCTAAACAGCACGATGAAGTCTGTTGGTCAATGGGTAATGGATGAAAAAAGTAAAAATAGAAGCAGATAAATTGCAATATTTAAGTTTCCTATCTCTCTTCTGTTACCACAGCTCTTACTGCACCTTGTCATAGAAGGACATCTGTTGTTATAGCATGATAATGCACTAAAATGGCCTGATCACAACTGATGCACTGCAGCAAGCCTAACAGACGGTGTCTTGTTCTGTCGTGTTTTTAGACCAAAGTTTAATGTTTTCCTGAACGTAGGTAGGAGTTGGTCTGAGCCGGATTACTGATTAACATGTTACTGTTGTTTGTCGTTGCTGTAGATGTTTATGGACTACAGAGACAAGAGGGGGAAGATGCTGCTGTCTCGTAGGAACCAGCTGCTGCTGGAGTTCAGTTTCTGGAATGAACCTGTCTCTCGTCCAGGACCCAACATCTACGAGCTCCGATCGTACCAACTCAGGGTAACACTGCCTCTTACATTTAACAGCTTCCTCCAGCTATGCATAAATACTGTATATATTTTCTCTGATGCTGTAGTGAACAACTTACTGTCCACATCTCTCTCCTCTTCAATTATTTTATTACAGCCAGGGACGATGATCGAGTGGGGAAATTACTGGTAAGGCACCACTCTTCATGTATCTTTCTTCTTTTTTTTGTTCATGTAGTTATCAGAAAGTCACCAAATTAGATTGATTTTAATAAATGCTATGACAAGCCCTTAAACTTTCACTCAGTGTGGTCATTTTAGAGCTGCCAATGTTATGTACAATTTTAAACATTTCCTCACTAGTATTTTGTTGGTTTTACAGATTGTAGCAGATGAATATGAGTCACCGGTACCAGGCTACACAGTCTATGCATGATTCTTAAGCATAACCAGATATACACCATTTATACCACATGATTATAAAGCTCAATCATAATTTACCCTGGATTTAATATATTTGTATATCTAATTAAAATGATATTGACTGATAAATTTGCCTGTTAATAATAATAAATCCAACCATGTTGGGGGAGTTAAAACAATCGGTGAAATTACTGGGTTATCTGTGAATGTCTGTCATTTGAACTTTAAATCCTACAAATTTGTGCTGGTGGCTTAATCAGTAAAACCCTTCAGTAACAAGCTTTTTGTTTTGTTTTCTTATCTCATGTGGTCAACAGGGCGCGTGCTATCGAGATTCGCCAGAAAAACCAGGAGGCAGTGGGAGGCTTTTTCTCACAGATTGGAACCCTGTACCAGGTTCATCACTTATGGGGTGAGCAGGGCTTATAAATGTAATGAACAGAGCTGCACCTTTTAGACAAAACATACACAAAATGTTAAACTCTACATCATAGTATTTCAAATAAATGATTTAAATTACACAAATGTGTATATAATATACCTCCCAGTCTACTGGGTGCATCTGTTTGGTGGCCCCTCGACATTTTCTTCACCTGGTACCTGCTAATGCAAACACAGCAAAATCATTGTCATGTGAAAATGAGATCATGTAAGCGCCTGACTCGAGATCGAAAAACAATTACTGTGTAACTGTTGGGCTAAGAGTGGAGACCGTAGGTGTGATATGTTGATCTGAGTGAAAACTGCATCTAATGATCTAAACAGCGTCTTGTTTTCCAGCTTACAAAGACCTTCAGTCCAGAGAAGACACCAGAAATGCAGCTTGGCAGCGTGAAGGGTGGGACGAGGTTGTTTACTACACAGGTAAGACTTAGTTTTCTGTGCTCTCTTTCTGCTTGTTACCTTTCTGATAATACAATAATTTCAAAGACCAACTTTGAGTGGTATTTTATCATGATGATGATGACAATGTAAAAATGTTACTTGCAAAGTATGTTACTGATGTTGATGTTTTTGTCTGCTGTAATGCAAAACCCTTCCACAGTTGACTTGTTAATAACATCAGCTTGTGTATGTCGCATGTCATCTTGCATACATTTATTTACCTTGTTGTGATAGATGTTGTAATTAAAAACATATTCTTATGTTATCAATGTCATATGCCATATTGCCCAGTACTGCTTTCTGACTTCACTGTCTGCTCACCTCTAACAGACTCTGTGCTTTAACATGCACTTGGTAAGTGACCTGGTGACAGCTGTCCTGTCACTGTGCCTTCAGTTTAAAATCTCTGGCACAAAATCAGAAAGCACCATCTTGTATCTTCGCTGCACTTGAAATAAATAAATAAATAAGCCATGATTCCAGAGTAAGGCCAGGGACTGGGCACAATCTGATGAGTGACTGTGGTGCACATGCATTACAGTATACACTGAACTAGAGATCCAGTAATTTATTAGTGGCAATCAATGTTGAATACATGGATGATTGGTTTGTGCATGAAAAGTAAAAAAAAAAAAGATATTACGTCACCGGCTGTTATGGAATATGATTCCATTACAAAAAGCACAAATTTATGAAATATTCACAAATTTAATATGTAAGGATAAACTCACACAGGATGTCTATTTGTCCAAGTTAATTACAGTGCATGGAAACATTTTTGTTTTTGTTTACTTTTCTCTGTTTTCCTGTGTGCATGGGAACATAATGCATGACACAGAACTCTCTTGCTAAGAATATTGTTTCTTCCTCATTCTGCAGTCCCTCTTATTCAGCACATGGAATCTAGGATAATGATTCCCATGAAGACTTCACCCTTGAAGTAACCACAAACATCTTGGGAAGCCTCTCGACAGTGACTGTCACACCCCTGTTGAGAGTGTAATCGAATACCAGAGTGTGCACTGCCAGGGATGCTTCCTGTTTTCTTTGTTTTCTGAACTCCCTTTTTCTTTGTGGTCCTAGAAAGTTTTATTTCAAATCAGATGGTTAAATTCATTGTCAATGTCGTCATTTACTGGTCCTTTAATAGGCCGTGTGTTTTAAATGGCTTGTCCTGTTTTCATGGTTATCTAAAAATACATTCATCTGCTTGTTGAGATACCAACATTGTTGTGAATCAACAGTTCTAGTGTTGGTCACAGGGGCTAAAATGTCTTTGATAGAACCACAGTTCGAAAGAAAAGTTAACATGACATTTACACTCACCGGCCACTTTATTAGGTACACCTTTATGCGATTCAATGTAACACTTCCACCATAACATCTGCGTTTAAGAAGTTTAAAATGTCTCAGCTTTTGGCGAAATTGTCCAAAATATATAAATTAAATTATATGTTTATTATTGAGGTCGTAGTTAAAGGTGGTGTTGTACTGGACTACATTATATTCAGAGATGTTCCTAATATTCCAGCCCTCTCACATAGGAAGATAAAAATATAGACACCTCTAAATATAATGTACTCCAGTATAACTATGACCTCATTAATAAGCATATAATTGAATTTATACATTTATGATGATTTCACCAAAAACTGAAACATTTTGAGCTTCATAAACACAGATGTTAAGGTGGAGGTATTGTAATGAATTGCATACAATTATACAGGTGTACTTAATAAAGTGCCTTGTTGCACTACAAAGCAAACAGAGGAAACTGCATCCAGTATCTTACAATAAAAACACTGTATCCAGAGCTCACTCTTGACTGTCAGTACAAACCAGATATGCTTATTTAAATATCAGTCATTACAAGGGAAGCTATATTTTATAAAGAGGGTTGTATAATTATAACAATGGACAGTAAAGCTGATTGTCAGAGGAGTAGTACAGCCACAGTCAGACCCTAGAGTAGCTTTATTTCCAGTGAAAGTTCATCCAGTCTTCTAGAGAATGTGACTTTATGTGGCTGAAGCTGACCCACTTATGGTGTGTACCCGTAATTAGTGTCACGATCATCTGGATGAATGAAAGGTTTCAAAAGGACAGTGTTACAAAGATGCACAAGAGGTGAAGTTCACTAACACACCACACAGTGGTCAGAACAGAAAGCTCCAAAGTCTTCTACTTTCTACTGGATACCTGACTATAGTGTCCAGTTGTTGGAGTGATCTTGTGCTGAATCCCCAGTTTTTTTTCTTCATTCATCTCTCTTCTGTTAAACCGACAACATCTTCAGATTATTTGCTAACTTCAACATCATGACTCTTTAGGCTTTTCCAGTTGTGGAGTGGGGACAAGATAATTAGAAAATGTTTTTGATTGTAGCAGGGCTAATCAGTATCTACGGTACAAACTTCTGTCCAGTGCCTGATTTGGCCTATCTCTGTATCAAGCAATGAATGCCAGCCAGGTGACTGTGTGCTCTAACTGAGATTGTTTGCTTTTTGTTGACGGTCAGATCGTAGATACACATAGTAGGCTTATTGACCAAGCCAGGGAGATGTCAGTATTGCATTTGTAACTAAAATGGGATATTCTAAAGAACGAGGAGGAATGTCTCTACATGATAAATGTGAAAGCAACGATTTGTTAAGATTAGTTGTACATATTAAACTTCTAAAGAAAATTTTAAAAATAAAAGTCTTGGACTCCTTTTATTCAATATTGCAGTGATACTAGAAATACATACGTTGCAACCTGAGCTCAAGCAGAAATGATTATCTGATAATCAGATTGACAGAAAAATTTTCATTTTTTTGACAAATCTTTTAAGTAATTTCTAAGAACATAAAATTTTATTTGTACCCTGCAGCTTCTAAATTGCAAATATTGACTAGTAGCCAGGACAACAAGATGGAGGAATTGATGTAGTTAACATCCAAAGTGTACACTTAGTACTGTTTATAGTGATCATATTTTCCTGGACTTAAACATTAGAGTTTAAAATGAATCCGCTTCATTTCCATTTCACACTTGCAGATGTGACGCACTTGGCCAACCAGCGCGTGCGTTAGGGTGGTACTTGTGGTACCTTCAATGAATATCGGAAATCTCAAAACCTCTGAGCGCGAATACTAACCTCTCCCAGAAGAGTGTTTGCAAAAACTGTTTACACATCAATTATTTTGAGGAAACCGCCTTTCTAGGACCCAGAGCCAGTCCTGAAAATATTCGTTTGTGACCCTGGCTTAATAATAGACTAATGTAAGATTGACAACACTGTTGGATTAGTGTTAGGCCTCTTACCTGCACTGTTGCTTTTTTAAAATATGCTACAGGACAGGACAGGTTTTCAGCAGAATTTTAGGGTAATTGCCCTTTAATAATAATAATAATAACACAGTTTTCTACTTATTTTTGCTTACTTTGTGTCTTTCCTTCTGCACCTCTGCACCTCCCTAACACTTTGAAAACCAGAGGTGGAAAGTAGCCTCTGTAGGACTATGGCTCTTGTTACCATTGCTAACTCTGAGAGACGAGACAGTCCAAGTAACTTCAAAACAGTGCTGCTTTATTCCATGAACACAGGTAAAATTAACATTACATGCTCAGGTATCTTGCACCTCCAAACTCAAAACATGAAGCAAATCAATGTGCATGTGTGTATGTCTGTTGATTAAGTGGTGTGTAGCTAAAAACATTCTCACGACCTCTAGTACATGTCGTGACTTAAACATAAGAACATATTATGGCTAAGGCTACAGTTATACACGTCGTAATAATAATATTAAACACCCTGTCTGCTGACAGTCATCAACTCTTCTCTCTAGTTATCCTTGACCAGATGTACCCTGTAGAAACTCATAAGCATGCCTAAGCATTTAACAGTCTAACTAGACATCCTATCTCCACTAAACATTTCTAATACATAAAGTATCTATCCAATTTCTATCTGACTAAAAATACCTAACACCTCTATTGTACTTAGGTACAATTTTGAGTAGTTCCATTTTTTGCTACTTCATATCTACTTCGATTTCACATTTTAGAAACAAACAATATACTTTACGCCACTACATTTATTTGATGACTTTAGTTACTAATATTTTTAAACTGTGGTGTTGCTACTAGTACTTCGCCTCCCCCCGGAGGCGCCTGATCTGGCAAAATCTCAACGAATTGGAGAATAATTCTCTGGTCATATGAACGGGGACTTGGGTCTCTAGAAGACAGAATTTCCGAGCCTGGGATGTTTACCTGAAGGCAGCGCGAGAACACGTGTTAGAGCCTTCTGGAAACCGACTCCCCTTTCGATAGGGTTCGAGCAGTGCGGACTCTTTACCGGCGATACTTTTTATTTTTTCTTCGCTGGGTGTGCAGCTTCGTCATGGCTGTGAAAGCTCTAAACCCAAAAGCAGAAGTAGCCAGGGCCCAGGCCGCTTTGGCCGTTAATATCAGTGCCGCCCGGGGGCTTCAAGATGTGTTGAGAAGTAACCTGGGACCGAAGGGGACCATGAAAATGTGAGTGCAGCCGGAGCCCTTTGTGCAGCACGCGTGCTATGCTAACTCACCAGTATGCTAGCAGCTACCGTTAGCTTTAACTCACTAGTATAGAGTTCGCGCGGGTAGCATTATAGTCATTCTGTCACCACTTAATTCTGACTGTTTATGAGCATTAGAAAGATTCTCCAGGGTACTGTTTTAGAGCCCTCTGTCACGTAAATCACAGTCTCAGTCAGCTGAGGCCTTCAGTCGCTAAGCGGATAACGGACACACTGGCGCACGTTGCCCTGCCCAGTCATTGTCATGATCTTTTTGACAACCACAAAGCTAACGCTAGCATTAGCTGGTTAGCAGACTGTGCAAACACCGAGATCGTTTGATTCATTCGAGGTTAGCACTCAGAATCATTTAGTTAACATGGATTTAACGTTAAACAGTCGAATAGTGGGACTACAGAGCAAATAAATGAGTCGATAACCGGTGACGAGTTGATGTTGGGTATTGATCAGCGTCAGGAGGATTATTTCAGGAAGTTCAGACAGGTTAACAGTTAGTGAGCAAAGTACATTAAGGTTTGTGCACCGGACGTAGCTGACTGAAAACTTGACTAATAGCTCACCAGGAGTGTATTACCCTGAAAGAGGTGAACATGTTAACATTAGCCCTTCCGTGCTTGTTTGGATCCACAGGCTGGTGTCTGGTGCAGGAGACATAAAGCTGACCAAAGATGGCAACGTCTTGTTACACGAAATGGTAAGGAGGTGCTGACTGTGATATTTTCTGTCTGGCTGTCTTGTCCATTGTTGCTGAAGGGTGACCACACCCCTAAGGTATATGTGTGTGAATGCATCTAAATATGCAGATACCCAATGCAGTATGAGCAGAGCTTCACATATGTTCATTGTCTGTAGTTATGTCTCCTGTGGATCACATCCAGCTGTAGAGAAAGATCCTCTTATGATGTGGTTGGAGGAAAAAATTGGTTTTCATAAAGCTTGAAAGCTGAAAGGTTTTAAGAACATCTTCAGCAGGTAGAGTTGGCTCAGTTGAAAGCTCCAGAAAAAGCTAGTAAATAGACTTTGAGTTAAATTTGACTTTTACAGAACTTGTCCTTTGAAATGAAGCTAGTCAATCAGCAGAAAATTAATAAATAGTTCTGATAATTGTTTCAGTCATTTTTCAAGCAAACGTGATGGAAGCAATGCTGCCCATCTTAAGTTTCCAGAATCTCATATGGCAGAATTTTTGTGTCTGTTTAACATTAATGATTGTAATGATTGTAAATTTGAATGCCTTACCAGGGTCTGGGACTCTGGGCTCTGTGAATTTGTGATTGACATATTCTAGTTTTGACCAGTCCAAAAAAAAAAATCTGATTTTATTTAAAATTAGTCACAGCCTTGTTGTCCTGTTATTGACTGTGAAGGTGTTTTACATAACCACAGTCGTGGCTCACTTCTGATGTTGCATGTTTGTTTTCTTGCAGCAAATTCAGCACCCAACGGCGTCACTTATTGCAAAGGTTGCCACGGCACAGGATGACATCACAGGAGATGGTACCACCTCCAACGTCCTCATCATTGGTGAACTGCTGAAGCAGGCCGACCTCTATGTGTCAGAGGTAAGAGAGGTTTAAAACCTGTCAAGTCCCAGTCCCTGTCTGGCTGGCCACTTGGAACACACACCAGTACTGTTCATGAGAAGTTAGTTTTTATCAGTGTAATTTTTCTTATATTCAATTTGAAAAATGAATTTTTTCAGAATTCATGTCAATATTCAGCAATGAAACAGAATTCTTCTATAAAGTGACTTTTGTGTTCAGGGACTTCATCCAAGAATCATTACTGAGGGTTTTGAGGCTGCAAAAGAGAAAGCTTTGGCAGTTCTGGAGGAAGTGAAGGTGACTCGGGAAATGGACAGAGAGACACTCATCAATGTTGCACGCACCTCTCTCAGGACCAAGGTCCACACAGAGTTGGCAGACCTGTTAACTGAGGTGAGACATGAGGGAGTGGAGCTCAGCATCTGTCACTATTTGACCAACTGCACCAAATGCAGATCATTTGTCTTGGTTGTTGTTACTCTTAGTTTATTACTTTAATAAGCTGTAGTCATAAACTGCCACAGTTCAAAGTGCTTAGTCAAATACAGGGTGGTCATTTTCTTTGTGAAACCGTTACAAGCATGTTTAGTACTTTGTGAATGATCAAAATGATATTTCCATCAGAAATGAGACTTTTTGCTCTAAATTGAACCTCTACATCTGTGCATATATGTCAGCTGATGCTGGTTGCTGGTAGTACTTTTCTTATTGCAGTGGTTTGATGATTAAATTCTGTTGTTAATGGTTGTTAGTGGTGGTGACTGGTTTGTTTGTCTGCAGGCTGTAGTAGATGCTGTGCTGGCTATTGCTAAACCCAATGAACCCATTGACTTGTACATGGTGGAGATCATGGAGATGAAGCATAAGACTGACTGCGATACACAGTGAGTGTTGAGACAGACATGGAGCCACAGGTGACTCATCATGTTAACTGCGACTGTGCAGGGGTCCCAGACATGTAAGAGTAACTGTTTTTGTTTGTTTGTTTATTTAAAATATTCTCAGGCTAATCAGAGGTTTGGTGTTGGACCACGGTGCCCGACACCCAGACATGAAGAAGAGGGTTGAGGATGCTTATGTGCTGACCTGCAACGTGTCTTTGGAGTATGAAAAGACAGAGGTCAACTCTGGCTTTTTCTACAAGAGCGCTGGGGACAGGGAGAAGCTTGTGGCAGCAGAAAGGAAGTTCATTGAAGATCGTGTGCAAAAGATCATCGCCTTGAAGAACAAAGTCTGCCCTAATGGGGAGAAGGGTTTTGTAGTCATTAACCAGAAGGTATGCTTGATGCTAGCATTTTAACTGTGCAGCATTGCAGTGTAGTTACTGGCCTCTGTACTGGGAGTAGTTCATACAGTAGTGCCTTTACAGAGTTAAATTCAAAATGCGCTTTTAAAAAACAAGTAATATAAAGTTGACAACAGTATCACACACGCTTTAAACTTGTTGACACAGTGGTGTCCACTAGGCCAGGCTTTCTCCAAATCAGCTTTTTAAAACTGTCTGGCTTTAATAGTTCATACAATACAATATACATTAGTTCAATAAAAGTAAATCCAAATGTCTGATGTAGAAAAGCTGTTTTAAATTATTTTCACCAAGTTATAGGTTCAGTCACATATCATTTTAGTTTCTTATAACCACTAAGTATTTTTACATTTCGCAGCATGTGAAAGTAAAAGAATTGAGTGCACAGCGAACACCCAAGGGTGCTGCCGTGGCTCCCCCTGGTCTCTTTAATCTGTGCTACATTAAATCTGATTTGTACCTCTGCATTAGGAGAGCCCATTCCTCTCCTACATGTATTCATCAGATCAGAATAAACCTGTCCCGACTGACAGTGACACAAATACACAGTTAATTGTTTCTTGAATTGATCAATTGTAGATGGAAGTTTGATCTCTTTAGTATTTTGTCCCTTTGGTTTTTGTAGGGTATTGACCCATTCTCCCTGGATGCCCTAGCCAAGGAAGGCATTGTCGCTCTGCGCAGGGCAAAGAGGAGGAACATGGAAAGGTATTAAACCTGTTTTCTGCTTCAGTGAAAAGTGGCTGTTTCTTTATAATGGAAGTGTCATATTTGTTATTTTTTTATTGGGGTGAACACCTGTGTAAAAACAGAAGTAAATTATTTAGGAAATGTTGAAAATATCTAAGAAATAAATGTATTAGAAATTGGCTGTGTTATACAGTTTTTTGTAACGACACCATCAGCTATGTCTTATTACTGTCACTATGACACTGTAGGAAACTATCCCAGTGCTGCTCCTTCATGAAGTTTTATTTTGTTCAGCCACAAGAGGGCCATTCTGACAGAGGCAGTGCAGCCACAGCAGGCTAAAGAACCAGGCTCAGTTGACCTTCGGAGCTGGGCCCAGTTCATGGTTCATTAGTTACATTCTGCACACATTGAGGAATTTTCAGCATTTTTTTTTTTAAGTGTAAAGTTTGTCCGATATTTTAAATGATGCTTAACTAAGACAAGAAATCCAGTGATGCAGTATCACATCAAAGAAATGAATTATACAATGTGCCGTTTCTTCGGCAGACTCTCACTTGCTTGTGGTGGCATTGCCATGAATTCAGTCGATGATCTCACACCCGAGTGCCTGGGACACGCTGGGCTGGTTTATGAACACACACTGGTGAGTTTTTATCAAGGCAAATGTGAGATTAATACATAGACTTCTTATTTTATGTGCAGTCTGTGCATCTGTTTTATCTATGTCTGTTATTGAGTCAGAGTTGTTAACTGTCCCTGATTGTGTCTTCAGGGAGAAGAAAAATACACGTTCATTGAGAATTGTGGGAACCCTCGCTCAGTGACTCTGCTGGTGAAGGGACCCAACAAACACACCCTCACACAGATCAAAGATGCTGTAAGGGATGGCCTGCGGGCTGTCAAGAACGCCATAGAAGACGGTGAAGACACTAATGAACCTAAAAGTTTACTTCTGCCATTTAAATTAGCTTGGTTAGTTTTATGGAACTATGAGTTACAAGTTGAGTTTTGAATTGTTTTGGTGGAGTTCAGCATTGGCTTAACATTTTGCAGCTAATGTTATTTAGACAAGAAATGTCAGTTTTCTTGTTCTTATTCTGAAGGTAGGTTTCCTTTTCAGACTATTGTCCATATGTTTACATAGGTAAACCACATGTTAAAGGTCTTTGGATAACCAGAATTATCAAGTATCACAGTTTGTACTTTTGGACACACCAGCTCCACTTATGTCTCTCCATTCTTCTTAGCTTGATTTCTGATTGTATCTGACAGTAAGGTCAGTTTATCTGTTCTTTGGTAAAGTGCAGCTGGTCTCGTTTGCACAGTGAACACCCAGGGATGCTAACGTTGTTCTCCCTGGTTTCCCGTGTCTGCTACAGTGACTCTGATCTTGACCCCTGTGTTAGTTTTGTTCTCTTCTACATGTAAGCAACTGGTCAGACCAAAGTCCCCAAAGTGTCTTTGACCTATGATTGATTTTGTTGTAAATGTACTGCCTTTTTGGCCTGAGGTAATTATATATGTTTTCTGAGTAGCCTTTTTTCTCTTTGTCTCTTTAGGTAGTGTTCTACCTGGTGCAGGTGCATTTGAGGTGGCCGTGGCAGACGCTCTGATAAAACATAAGCCCAGTGTGAAAGGCAGAGCCCAGCTGGGAGTCCAAGCATTTGCAGATGCTCTCTTAATCATCCCTAAGGTGTGAGATTTTACTTTTCCCTCCAGGCTTCTAGTGTTTCTTGACCTGTTGTAGAAAACTCTTGCTTCTGTATTGCAACATTGTCATCTCATGTCCTCTTCCCTGATGTCATACAGTTAGACAAGGTTGGTTTCTGTTGACATTTATACTGTATGAACCTCTTTATTATAATTATGTATCTTCACTCAGGTTTTGGCCCAGAACTCTGGCTATGACCAACAGGAGACCCTGCTAAAGCTGCAGACAGAGTACAAAGAGTCTGGTCAGCTTGTTGGAGTAGACCTCAGCACAGGTCAGAACCACAGCACACCCTTAATTAAGAATCTGTGGAGATTGTCTTTGTTTCAAGATGTCCCAAAAACGTCACTCTTTCAAAATCAGTAATGTGAGACAATGCACTGGAGACTTTTTAACACAGCATTAAATACATACTGTTACACAGATGTCAGATTAGCAAAAGGCTGAGCTATTGAAAATCACAACTGGTGGAGAGTAAAAATGTTCATAAAGGATGCCCCTCCCCTTAAATATCATTAACACACTATATGAGGCTAGTGTGTCCATTATTCTGCTCCAGCACTTTTATTTTAAATATCTATTTTTTCCCTTTTTTAATATGCTGTGTTTCAGGGGAACCTATGGTAGCAGGAGAAGCAGGAGTGTGGGACAATTACAGTGTCAAGAAACAACTTCTCCATTCATGGTGAGGTTAAGCATTTCTAAATTATACAAGAACTGGGAATATTTAACATGGTCTTGATGCAGTGTCTCCCCATCGATCTCTAACACGAGTCTGTATTTCTTTACAGCACGGTGATTGCCACCAACATTTTATTGGTAGATGAGATAATGAGAGCTGGAATGTCTTCTCTCAAAGGTTAAAGGTCAGCTGAGGAAGCTGCAGCGGTTGTCATGCTCACAAGGATAGCCATTTTCCAGATGGTTCAGTCAACACGTTATTGCTCTCGGCACTCGGTCTGATGGACAGCCTGCTTTTAACACCACAGAATCCATCACAGCGTCTGTCAGAAACCATTGTTTTGCTAGTCATGGTTTTTTTTTCCATGCATTTGTCAATGCGCCCCCTTCTGATTAGTTTATTTATGAGATTTTGTTAAAAGCACCGACCTCTGACACTCACTTTTGTTTCTACCATTAAAGGTTTTCTTGGCTATTGAAAAGTTGGTTTTGTTTTTTTGTGAAGTCAGTGGATATAAAAAACAACAACCTTAAAATACAAGAAAAAAAAAATGTAAACACTTTTCCGAGCCTTTTCTGCTTGGAAGAGTACATGAACATTCTGAACTACATCTGGACAAAGCTACATAGACACTAATGCACAATTAGTAGTGGCATGTAACCCAAGTATATTTATGGTACAATGTTTTTGGTACTTAAGTATTTCCATTTTATACTTAAAATGTAAAAGGTACCTGCTGTAGTTTAGTGACTTGAACTTATAAAAAGTAGTGTAAACAGTCTAGCTGAATAATTAAGCTTGAAAAGCTTTTCTGATGCATGAGTAAAAAAAACAAACAATTTATAATTCTAATCATTTGAATATTTCTCTGGTGGCACACTAGTAAAGCGTAAGATTCTCATTCTCAAAGTAAAACTGATTTTACTGATTGCATTTAAGTGTTTCAGTGTAAATATACTTCGTTTTTTTTCTTATAGCATTGATTTTGCATAGATAATGCAACAAAACAAGAAGCAGTTTTATTCGCTTTAATTTAGTACAACTTCTTGTCATTTCGTACAACAGTTAAGCTATACGGCTCATTCTGAAGATAAATACGACCGATACGAAAAAATTGCCGCCGCCTTGAAGTTTTCTGTATAACAGGAACCCTATATGTTTTCACACGGAACCATTTTGTCGTAGAACCTATTTCCGTTGCGACTCTGAATTTTGTCTGACAGCCATATTGACTTAAAGTTTGATAAGACATGCTGCGAGTTGACTCTTAAACATTTGTGTATTATTTAAATGCGTTATGACGAATTGTTTGCTTTAAAAAAAAAAAAGCTTGTCAAAAAATGAGCGTTAAAATAGCGTTCTGTGTTTCTGCTCTGCTTTTAGTCGCAGTGACAGGTAAGAATTTATTTCTGCACAAGTGTTTAAGTTGTGTTAACATTTAACTAGTGAACATGATCCAGACAAGTTTCCCACTGACACACAGTAGCAGAGGAGGTGCTGAACATACCAGGAGGAAAGATGTTAATGGGCACCAATGCAGCTGATGGGAGAGATGGAGAGTCCCCCACTAAGGAGGTCGAAGTGGGTCCTTTTAAAATAGACAAATATCCTGTTACGAATGCAGATTTCAGGTAATATAACTTTGAAACTTGGCGTTAAGGTGGAGAGTAAGTTAAAAGTAATTTAATAAAGCCACTGACCTATCCTTCATTCGTCACAGAGATTTTGTGAGAGCGCAGAAATACAAAACTGAGGCTGAGACGTTTGGTTGGAGTTTTGTGTTTAAAGACTTTGTGGCTGAAGAGCTGAAGAGCAAAGTCACCCAGAGAATTGAGGTACCAGAATAATTTATGATACAGAGCAGAATGAAAGTATCTGAACAGCTCTACACATTCAGTTTGAAACAAAATACCGCAGCAAAGTGCCAAGTGTAAACTTTAATTTGAGTAGGTTTATATCAGGTATGTAGGATTATGTGTTTTTCTCCATTAAAAATTGAATAAAGATAAACTGATCATTTGTTGTAGTCTTAGGACAATAATTGAGAGCATTTGGCTGTTGCTAGCTATTACTGGTGAGGTTGCCTTATGAATAACTTCCACTCGCTGTTTCCCATCCAGTCTGCTCCATGGTGGTTGCCTATTGAACGGGTGTTTTGGAGACAGGTGAGGTCCAATATTTTGCCAGAGATTTCTGTTTTTGTCCTATCATTTTCTGTCATCTTTCACCATGCCTCCATTGCCCACCTTTCACTCCTCTGGTTCTCCACTGTTCAGCCTGCAGGACCTGATTCAGGCATTCGGGAGCGCCTGGACTTCCCGGTAGTTCAGGTGAGCTGGAATGATGCTCAGGCTTTTTGCCAGTGGAAGAACAAGAGACTGCCTACAGAGGAGGAGTGGGAGTGGGCTGCACGTGGGGGGCTGCAAGGTGCACAGTTTATTCAGTTAAAAACCTTAGAATATACAGTATGTGCCACAGTTAGAGGTTTTGTTTATATGCTCTGACTTAGTCTGTACTGTCTTTTGTGGTGATGCTACTGGTTAGTCCGCTCTATGAAGGGAGCACTTCATCAAGATCTTTTTTTCTTTGTTTGCACTCTGTGAAGAGTTGAATTTGCTCAGTTTTGTTAGTGTTTCAGATACAGTACACGTGAGACGTCAAAGAAGAAATAGAAAGCATGGAAACTAGTTTCCATGGCCACCTTGCTCAGTAATTGGTGTATATAATTTCACTGTTTGCTGGCCTCTTAACTTTTCTTGCCTTGTGTGTTTCAGGTCGGACTTATCCATGGGGAAACAAGTTCCAGGTCAATAGAACCAACCTGTGGCAGGTCAGCCTACTGTAGTAATGCATTAGCACTGTATAGTTTTCATAGGATGCTCCAACTAGGGATTTATGGGTTCATTTAATTACTCACACTCATGGTAGATTTTTAGGGATGTCTGCAGGTAATGATACTACTGTCTTAGGCTAAATATGCAAATTTGGGTGATAAACTGATTAAGCTTTGTAAGACCTACCTATTTAAAGGTTAAAGTATTGCTGTATTTAAATAGAGCATGACAGTAAAAAGTTTTTTTTATTTTGTTTTCCTGTATGTTGTAGGGATCCTTTCCAGACGAAGACACTGCAGAGGATGGATACCACGGTCTCTCTCCTGTCACAGCATTTCCTCCTCAGAACAGTTATGGTAAATGTCACTTAAGTCTTTAAAAAGATATAAGATTAGTGGTACAATGTAACAAAAATGTCTTGAGCTGAAAGCTATAGACAGAACAAATGTTTGCATTCAATTCATTCTCTCATATCTCTCTCTGGTCAATAAAGAAAAACCCATATGACTGTGTATTCTTGCTGTGTGCTTTTCGGGTTTATAAGAACAATGTTGATTCCTTCTGCAGGACTGTATGATATGATGGGAAACACATGGGAATGGACATCCACACCCTTTCACGGAGCACAGCCAATGTATGTGCTGCGTGGTGCCTCCTGGATCGACACAGTGGATGGTTCAGCCAATCATAAGGCTCGAGTCACGACAAGGTGAGTTATTTCAGACTCTGAACCCACACAGCAACTGTACACCAGTCCCGACTGACTGATAGCTATGATTTGTGTGTCTTGCAGGATGGGCAACACTCCTGACTCTGCCTCTGATAACCTGGGATTCAGGTGTGCTGCCAGTGGGCATGAACATGGGAAGAAAAAAGACAAAACAGAACTGTAGCAACAAACAGGGAGTCAAAAATATTAAGTGAAGAACATGTTCATTTGAGCCAACTGTAACTGAGGTGGAATTAATGTATCTAATGACAGTTTACATTGAAAAAAGCCAGGGACCAATGAAAGATTAATGAACACTATATTAACAAATGATGATGGTGACAGGAAGCTCTGAGTGTAAAAACAAACAGTTTCTCCTGTGGAGAACTTAGATTTTTAAATGAATTTGATGAGGATTAAATGAGCTTTCTAATACATAAAATTAAAAAAAAACTTTCCAAGAAAAGTTCTCAGTTCAAATGTCTCCATGACTTACTGAATGAAAAAAAGTAGGACACTCTGTCAGCACTGGTGGTTGCTGTGTTAACTCTTTTTATGTGGCCAGAGAGTAAAGTGGTCCACTGGTTTAGTCACAACCTTCTCTAATTCTGCCTTTGTCTTTCTGTTTACTTTCCCATCTCGAGGTCCAGTGGATCCTGTCCAGGATCCACTGGACCACAGGATCTCGTCTCTGCTTTTTGCAGACGACGTTGTCCTGTTGGCCCCATCAAACCAGGACCTCCAGCGTGCACTGGGGCGGTTTGCAGCCGAGTGTGAAGCGGCTGGGGTGAGAATCAGCACCTCCAAATCCGAGGCCATGGTTCTCAGTTGGAAAAGGGTGGCTTGTTCCCTTCAGGTTGGTGGAGAGTTCCTGCCTCAAGTGGAGGAGTT